AGTAGTATGGCCAGGAGCCCCTAGTAGCGTCCTTGCTCCTAGTAGTATGGCCAGGAGCCATTAGTAGTTTCTTGTTATTAGTTGTCATCTGAGTTGGCAACTTTTCAAAGGCTGGGTTGGAGTCGCAGCAAAGTTGACTCGCCGACCGGCACAGCTCTTTCCTCACCTGCTGGGCTTTCTTTGTAGAACACTTCTTTGCCGAACTGTCGGAAATTGGCCGAATTGTTGAATGTCTCCTATGTCTCATGTAAGAAAGAAGCTGAGCAGTGAAGGAATGCTTGCCAGCCTCCTTCTCAAATCGCTTGCAAACCTCTTCTGCAGAGAGCCTGCAAAGCAAGCTGAGGCACAACTACCTGTCGCCTTTACAATCCTACAATATGGTGTCGTCATACTAATGCCCCACCTCGCGGCAGGATCGCTCTCTGCCATCTCCTGCAGAAGACATCGCCTCATAATGATTGAGATGTCTGGCACATCAGTCTGACAAACGTCTTCAAAGAACTGAAAGGCATTCAAATACTCTCACCTTTGCATGCACTGGCTTAGCTTAGTGTCCCGAGGGTGGCACGTCTTTGGAAGCCGCACGGCGACATATCCAGGAACAATCTGAAGCACTCAACTCATAAGCAATCCTCTTTGTTCAACACCTTGAGTGGTATAGATTTTTAGTTGCGTGTCCCACCTTGCTTTCGTTGAACTTGTCCATGGTGCTGATGCGTTCCATGTGCGTCCTGGCACTGCATCAAACTGTTGGACAGCGAACAGACACGCTCAAAGTCCTGAATGGCTGCAACAAGAGCTCCAACAAGATTACTGCACCTCATGACAGTCACGCAGGCTCCCTTTTGCTTTTAAACAGCTTCGAATCGGCTGCCAAGAAGCAAGAATAGATGTCCACCTTGTCACTACAAGCATTCGCCCCGGAAGATGGCCCATGTCGGGCGCACAGGAGGATCTCCTCCAAGCCCATGAAAGATTGAAACAAACAGAGCTACTAGAATAATCTTGCCGGTGTTCGATCCGAATCGACATGAATGTGAATAAGAATGAGAAAGTCACGTCTGAGAGAATGTGGCTATATAAGTCTCTCTGTTACTCGCACGCCCGAGCGCCCGCGAAACGCGCTCCGGAGCAGTGTATCCAGGTGTGCCCCCCATTGCGGTCTTATTCTTCAGCCTCAATTCGTCCAAGAGAGTGAAAAAGCACGTGACACTGGAAGTCCATCAGTCGATATTAGGGCTTTTGTATTGAGCAAACCACATCTTCGAAGAGAGCTGGTCAAATTGGCGGAAGAGCTGGTTCTCACCTGTTCAAAGTCCGCAGGCACCAACATTCCGCGTCCAGCGCACAGTGACCGGAGCCACGCCACAAGGTCTGGTCTCTGGGGTACGAGACCAGCAAGACCGAAGTCACCGATGCGAACCACTTTGACCTCGCGGCACGCCGATCGGTATGGAGCCTGTTCATGAAGTTTGAGAACGTGTAGGACATGTATGCTGTAAAAACAAGAAGTGAAAACACACAACTTAGTGCCTTACTAGTAGTAACAAGAAGCTAGTAGGAACAAGTGCATCGCAACTAGTAACAAGTGCCTTACTAGTAGTAACAAGAAGCTACATCTTTCCGCATCTGCGTGATACAATTTCAACCTTTCTCTCGCCTTGGAACGTTCTGCTACACAGAAAATATTGTCCGGCCTGGGTGCAACAAAAAACACGTTCAAACGGGCGGGACTCCCCTGGGAATCTCCAACCAAAAGCACTTGTGTATATGCCGCTTCCAAACAACGCAACTGGTCAGCCGCATGCTTCAAATCGCTGTGCACGATCCGCTTGCGATGGATGTGGCGAACCTCCAATGATTAATCAGAACCAAATCAATCGTGCAAAGGGTTCAAGTCTGCGGGGAACTTCCTTAAAGAATCCTTCGCACTTCTGTGTCCCAGCATCTTGCTGCTTAAGCTACTAGCCTCTCTTCTTTGGCCTACCTCCCAAAAAAAAATGTAAATGCAACACATCATTTACAACACATACTAGTAGACCTTGAGTTCAAGCAAGAATTCCTCTCGGTTCTCTCTCTGAGATTCCAGCACTCAACATCAAAGAACCAAAGACATCAGCAGCGTCCGAAAGCGTGCGACTCTCGAGTTTTAGCCAACTTCGGAGAGTCAAGGTCCTTGTGGAGAAGAGCGAACAAGAGCTTGACAGGTGAATATGTAACAGGGATTGAACCAGGAAAATACAACAGCATCACACGTGTTCAATTCTGAAGACATGTTGAATGAGCCAATAGGCTACATTCATTTCATGCTGAGCGACTGCCGGTCATCTGATATGCTTCCATCTGGCGCCGATCCCATCAGCTCCATTTCGATCAGCAAGACCTTAAAAGGCACAGCAAAGAAAAGCAAAAAAGGAAACAAAAAGGACTTAATTAGTGTAATAAGCTAGTAACAAGAAGCTACTAGGTTGGAGGCCATTGCTATTAGGTTGGAGGCCATTAGTACTAGTAACAAGAAGCTACTAGTACAAGGTACAATTGCTCCATCCGTAAGCTGTGTGACCAAACAGTAAAGTGCTTCGTTCCGTGGGTCTTTGGCCCATTGGCGCGCAGATGCTCTGCTGGTAAGATCGACGCAGAAAGGTATCGGTATCGGTATCGGTATTGAGTGCGTGTGTGTGCAATGCCGTGCCCCTGTTGCGATTGAAAAGTATAAGCACAAGTCTGGGACCCAAGCCAATGCCCAGGAGAGGCTTAGTTTGTTGTGTAGGTGTTTCTAAAGATTTCTAAAGTGATTCTAGAGCATATTTGCTGTCTTTCAAGAATGGTTGCAGCGCCTTCTTACGATTACATCCACTTCTCTGCTGTTGCAAGTGGCCCTTCAACCTGCTCCGCAGCTAAATGAGTTGCGTTCATCTTTCGATGCAAACGATGCTTCTCGCCTTCACAGGCTGTGTATTTGTCTTTGTTCTTGATGTGGCGAACATACAATATCTTGCTTTGCCGCGAACACAAGAGTCCGAAGCAAACTTATCGCATTGACAAAGTGCAACTTTTGTTAAATCAGCACCTACATGTGACAAGCAAGTGTGCGACTCTTGAACAAATCTCGGCTGCCAACAACCTGCTTGGTTTCCACCTTGTCCTGCCGAGGGATCGACAGGGTGTTTTCTCTGAGAAAGTCATGCGTCACTTAGGTGTCCTGCCAAACAACTCTTGCTGGAGGTGGTGTTGACGGGCGTGACAGCTCATGCTGCAGCGAATCTACCTCCCAAATGAACCTTGGCAATGAAAGTAACGCTTGCAATCAAACCAATCAACTGCCCACTAGTAAAGTGTTTTGTTGGTGTGCTACTATCTGGATGCATACAATCTTGGCCTCTGGCCCGAGGCTTCCGTCAAGGCCAGGGGGAGTTGGATACACATCACTGCTGCTACGCGTGCGCCTGCGCAAAGCACCACCGTCCCAAGCCAAACACACACACACACACACACTTAGGATTCTAGGATGGAGCACGTACAGACAGTCTGAATGCCACATGCAAGAACCTTGGTGAAAAAAGAGCCTGAGTAAAACATGTGGCGTCCTGAAATTCCAGGATCCAAGTTTCAAGATTCCAAGTTCCAAGAGTCGGAGATCCAGGATCCAAGTGCAGTCAACTCCTAAACTCCATGAAGCAATGCTCAAACCCATGCAAGGGCCCGTAACCTGGCTTAGCTAGAACCAGGGACCAAACGGAAATGAATATTAGCATCTGAGCAGGTACGTCATGAGGAGTCCCCAGGAGCAGACTATGAGGAGCTTCGTTGGATGGAGCCTCATATGTCCTCTCCATGCCCTCTGCAAATTTCAAAGTCAACTGGCTCTGTGTGATTCCAAGGGTTACACACACACACATTTATAGAAATGCGTACTGACTCGAATGCCACTCGCCACACGGCGACCTAGGTAACCAAGTGCCAAAGGGGTCAGATAAATGACAAAACTGAAAAGCCTCCACGGAACCTCCAATGCCTCCAGGGCGAAATCAAGTCTCAAGTCAAGTCTCAAGCTCACGAAAATCCGAGGTGACGTGCCGCTGCATTAGCCGCTCACAACAAAGAATGAGACAGCTTTAGCCATACTTGGCTTCTCAACAGCAGGTACACAGAGCTGATCAGGCTCTGCTTCCCAGATGCAAGGTAGCTTTGTTAGGCGCAGTCCCTTGCATCTGCTGCGCCCCCCTGCTTATACTGGCAATCAAACCTGACAATCCAACAGGAACCTTGTGACTCCAAAGGTTACATACACACACACACACGCCTCCCCGAGGGGAGGCAAAAAGAAGTAAGGCGAGGACGGTTGTGGAAGTGTGCGCGCAACAAAGAGAAAAGGATGAAGACATGAGAAGGAGGACGAGACGGGACAAAGGTGTGTGTGTGTGGTGGCAATGAAAAGGAAACCAAGTGCACAGGGACAACTGATGAACCCCACCTCATTGTCAAGACTTGGGCGACCTGAAACCTGTGTTTGAAGTGTATGTAGAAGCGCGCGTACACACTAAGGCCAGGACCGCTGTGCGCGCAAACGAAAGAAAGGATGAGGTGGCAGAACATGAAGACAGGAGGACATGAAAGAAAAGAGGAAAACAAATGTGTGCGAAGGGGAAAGGATGAAAAGGGAAACCAAATGGAGGGGATCGAAAACCAATGAACCCGAACCTCATTAGAAAACCTAGCCAAACCTCCCTGAAAATGTACGTGCTGTGTGTGCACCTGAGGTGGCGACGGGTCCCAATCAACCCTAAACATGCTTTGACTGCTCTGGTCACCTTGTGCCATGCCAAAATGGCGGGCGACTTGAGACCGCTGTGGTCACCTAAAGGCATGCCAAAATGGCAGCCAGCTTGGAGTTCAATAATTCAGCAACTCTTGGCAAATAACTTTGGCTTAAGCCACCTACGCTCGCTGCGAGCTGCTCTGTATTTCAACGGGTCCACAGGAGCCACTCTTCGGGGTCACCCTAAGCTCTCACGATCACGAGCAGACACACTTATAGAAATGCGTACTGACTCGAATGCCACTCGCCACACGGCGACCTAGGTAACCAAGTGCCTAAGGGGTCAGGTAAGTGACAAAACTGAAAAGCCTCCACGGAACCTCCAATGCCTCCAGAGCGAAATCAAGTCTCAAATCAAGTCTCAAGCTCACGGAAATCCGAGGTGACCTGCCGCTGCATTAGCCGCTCACAACAAAGAATGAGACAGCTTTAGCCATACTTGGGTTCTCAACAGCAGGTACACAGAGCTGATCAGGCTCTGCTTCCCAGATGCAAGGTAGCTTTGTTAGGCGCAGTCCCTTGCATTTGCTGCGCCCCCCTGCTTATACTGGCAATCAAACCTGACAATCCAACAGGAACCTTGTGACTCCAAAGGTTACACACATACACGTGGCAAGCATGTGCACCGGTGCGGCATGCCTGAAAGCAAGACTGCTCCCGGCAGTGCCAGCTCTTCCCTGACATTTTTCCACATGAAGGCTTCTTTCAGGTTCGATGATTTGTTTCGCATCTACGAAGCCGCACCCGGAATCGCAAAGAGGACACCCAGGCAGGATCCTCTTCAACCTGCACGGAGCACCGTTTAGCAGCTCTCTAGACTCTAGCTCCTCTGGTGAAATGTGCTAGTGTTTTTGCCGATCAACTGTAAAATTGAGATCACAAAATCAGATCGGTTCATTCATGCTCATTCTCGGGATAAAAGGAGATGTTCCATCTTACCGGGCAGGCTTCAGAAGGCAACACAACTGCTTGCTCCTGTGTTGCATATGTCAGTTGGTACTAAGCAAATTTCCAAGGTGAAAAGCTGATATTGACATTCCTTTGAAATGTCAAACAGCTTGTCGGCTTGAGTACAAACCATCACCCTTGAACGATCATCTTCTGATTCGTCCGGCAGCGCCTCCTTCTTCAGCTGAGCCTGGATACAACAAGTGACCAATGTCTGACTGTCTGACCTTGTAAAATCCTGGAATCTTGACATTTAGGGTGTATGTGACATGTCTCAGGTTGGGAGGCCACCAAACCAACAAGCTTGTTATATATGTTATTCCCGTCACCACAGATGAAACATTGCCATGTAGGGTTGACCAATGTTCCTAAAATATAGCATGCCTTTGTTTTGCTTGGGGCACTGCCGGACGCGGAAGGTGAAGTTGTTGCATCGCTTCTGGCAGATGCTCTGGCTCCTGGAAGATTGTGAAACTGAGAACTGACCCCTACTACTGCCTTCATACTTTCAGAATGACGTTTCATGCTCCTCAAGCCAGTATGTCTCGTAGCGAACCACATGCGCTGAACCTTGCAACTGGCACGGGAGTGTTGGAGCTCAGTGTCGGAATCGTCGCAGCAAAGGCACTCAAATCTTGGAATGTCGAGAGGCATTCACGCAAGCCTCGAACGGAAAGCATTTGAGCTGATTGGCAGATCTGACACCACAGCTTCACTCCTTGATGCAAAGCAGATGGTTCTCGTGACTGGGGAAGCCTCAACATCTGATTCAGTCAAAGGATTGTGCGTCGTGAAGCCACTGAGCGTCGTTTTTGAACTTGCAAACAGCCCAAGGACAGTGCAAAATGGGAATGGCCTTCACTGCAACCCAGCGTCCCTTGTACCTCTTCAGCTACAATCAAAATCCCAAGGGTGGCAGGGAGACGGGTGCTCACCTTGAAGAAGCCGCATCACTTACACGTGCAGCCCACACTGTTCCCATACCACCTTGGACTTCACTGGATCACTTGCAGCCACTGGTAGTGAAATGGCTTTTACAAGTTATTAGCAATGATTCGAAATGATTGATGATATCAATGAATCAAGTATCAATCAAGCATCAATGATATCAATGTTACATTTGCACTCACAATTCCAGGTCCTGACCACTGCCCAAGCAATGTCCCAGCCTCATGGAAGAATGCGGCTGGGAGTTTCAATTTGACGTCGACAGAATGAGACACCTTAGGTCCGAGACTCTGCATAAGCCTCTTTGAAACGGCCATTGTGCCACAGCTGCCGTCCTGCATTTCTGCTGCCGTCCGCAGTTTTTTCATGTCTTCCTCGCGCAAGTCGCTCCTCCATGCTCGGAACTCTGAGAGACATCTTTCGGAGAGCATGTGGAGCACGCCTTGACAAAGGAATGCCGTGAGTCCATCGCGATGGACTTCGAAAATCCGAGTGCCAAACATCCATCAAAGAATGTCAACAGCGCCAGCAGAGTCACCGATCGCCAGACTGTTCAATTCTTATATATATATATAAATGGAGTTCGGATGAGTTTGGGTTTAAGCTCTGCACATGGGTCTTCAAAGGTCTCTTGATTGAGGTATTGCTGCAATTTGCTGCATAGTCAGTCTTCCTGCATCTTCTTGCTTGGTTTTTGTGCAAGAAATCATCGAAGCTGCAGAAAGGGTTTGATGCCTCGGGCACTGGTGTAATGGACCAGTGATGGAAGTGATGAACTAGGGTGCTTCAGGAAGATGTCTATTTTGAACGAGCTCTGACTCGACTCGTTGTGAGTCGCCTAGGGTCAGTGAGACTCCTAAGACAGCTCGAAAGGGCAGTCGTCCCGTTCACAGCCGTGCCTCTTACACGAGTGAAACGATAAGAATGCATTGGAAATGGAATGAGCATATTGTCAGCATTGTTGAGTCTCCATCAGGCAATTTGCCTTGAACATAAGGTTGGGCAGAACATGAAAACTAGAGATCACGGCAAAATCCAAGCACATGGCTACAGGATGACACAGAACTTCGTCTTGCCTGTCATTGGTGACAAGGAGTCAGTCTGTGATTCTCTCTTTGGATATCTGAGGATGTTGCCTGGTGGTGGAGGTGGTGGTGGGTGATTGGCCGCATGGCCCACTGCCTGGCGATGGAGCTGGCTGTACCACGAGCAGTCAATCAAAATGCCAAGCTGACTCTTCTTCAAATAGTTCCAGCCTCTTCTGCTGCCAAGCGAAGTGATGCTTGAGACTTTCCCTGCCTCCAAGAAGCACTGAGCCCATGGTAACCCAAATAGTCAAAGGAAATGGGTTCAGTGAAAATGACAATATTGGTGTCTAGGCCGTCTAGGCCCAGAACACAACTTCTGGTGCTTTGGGCGACTCGGGTGCATCTTCGGCTCGAAGGCCTTGAAAGCTGGCAACGTCCGACTTTGCGGGGGCAAAGTAGGGCGAGTCAGTCCGACTTTGTGCTAACAAGAAGCTACTAGGAACAAGGGCATACTAGGGGCGCTCCTGGCCTTACTAGTAACAAGAAGCGGGGAACAAAGGGCCTCCTTGAGACACTTCACCAGGAAGATTTGGTGGAGACACCGGTGCCGGTGCTTCTTGTTTGGTACTTGTTGGCTCCTCCACCGGAGGGGCAGGGCTAACCGGTGCCTGCACCAAAGAAGAAGCAACAGTGTTGCTTTTGATGAAAAACGCATCTCAAAGAATCTGCATTTAATTGTGGTCGTTTTGTGCAATTCCGCTTCATCACAGGCCTCTTTGGGCTTCTCCTTTCCTTGGCAAACACTTCAGCATTTGCGTGAGTTCAGTTTGAACTCCATTCTTTTGTTGTCCGCATCTGTCTCAGTTATGAGTGGATCCTCCTGTGTATGATGCATGGGGAGAGTTCAGCTATTTACCAGAATTTGAGGAACCTGGGGCCGGAACGTGCCAATTCTTCGGCAGCTTCCGCTGCCCCAGCATCTCTTCCGTACCTAAAGAGGATTCAACAAGCGAACACCAGCTGAATGCCAGCATCACTGCAAGAAGCTGCTACTGGAATTGCAGCGTACACGCGAAAGACCAACTTGGATTGCAGGTACTCGAGAAAGCGTGAAGTCACTGGATCCTGATGGCACAGAAAAGAAATCAATATCATGAGTTTGTCTATCCTGAGGCGGGGCTGCAGCATTGCAGGTGCATGTTCCTGTTCCATCTTTTTTAGGTTCAGAATGGCCATGTTCAAAGTCACCTGTAAATACCCGGTTGCCTGCAAAATATTGACGTTGGCACGTTGACATCATGAAGCAGGAGAGTTTCCGACGGACAAGCGACTTCATGTTGATGCCAGCTATCTCCTGTTTGTATTATCTCAATCAAAATTAAATTTAAAAGGAAGTTAAAGTTGGGAGTTCGAGCATGGAGGTGTCCATTTGTGTGATCAAGGGATATGGACAGGAAGAAAACTACATCGCTTTGCCAGAAAGTCATTGTGGGTAAGCGACAATGCCACCTCAGCATTGTAGAATTCGTCGTTGTAACTGTCTCGGAGTAGAAACAACAGGCGAGTAGAAACGATATGAAACAACATAAGCAAGCACTTCCAACAACCAAAAAAACTGTCGACTTGAAAGATGTGGGCCTGAACGAAAGTATGACTGTACTTGAACTCAGGGTTGCAGTTGTGACCGAACCTCAGGTACTGAAACTATCTTTCTTCACGTGGTTCTTGCAGTCTGAGAAAAGCTTAGATAGGAGCACAGTAGGTAATTTGTGTGGCCTCGGAGAAAATGCAAATAAAGGCATTGAATGTAGCGTGTTCGACTCAAAGATCTATGACCCAAAATGACCTAAAGCTTTGACTTTGTGTCCGCAAGCCGCAGGCTTTTCATCGATGAAGTAGGAGTACTCTACGCGCACATCATTTGCTAATGCCTCACAAATGCAAAGTTTCTCGCACATCTCGCACTTGTCTTCAGGTTTCTCGCGTCATCTCGCGTAACACTTTCGGATGGCCTCTGGCAAGCCCGCAGCTTGTGGCACTCTCACCAGAAACTTCATGCATGAACCTAAGAGCTCCTGTGCTGGGCGTTTGTAGGTGCAGCAACACACATACTACATACAGGATCATACAGGCATCAACATCATGCTGCTTCAAACTCATGAATCTGTAATGAGGCTCCTCGGGTTCCTCCACGACCTCTTCATCGGGAATGCCTTCAGATCCGTCCTACAAGCACTCGCGTAGCTGGACCAGAAAATCGCAGGTCCAAGTGACTGATGTCGCTTCACGTTGAAGGGTCCTTGGCAATCGGCACGATTTCCACAGTCAGGCTGCCCACCTTGGCGGAAAATACAACACAAGAGCAGCCAGAAACACAAGGTGTGGAAGCAACCATTTGGACTAAAGAGATCTTAAGACTAAAGTGACTAAAGAGATCTGGAAGCAACCATTTCGGCAACACAAGAGCAGTCGGGTGTGTCTTGCATCTAAAGCTTGGTCGCTTCAATAGGGCACCCCAACTGCTTGGCCTTCGCTGCTGAGGATCCTGCAAGACATGAGCAGACTGTGCACAGCGTACCAGTCTTATTTCTATTGTGTTCAATGACGCAAAAGCCACAACAGTGCAAACAGCATCAAACAGCACATCCTGGCATCCACTTTATTCTCCACTTGAAGAAGCACCTCAGAGCGGCTCGATTTCCTGTTGGAACAACCAAATGAGGCAACTGTGAGGCAAATTCACCATCCTTTGCACAATCCACAAGTGAAGCATGGTCAGTAAGAGACATGCCCCTTCAAGCAAGACTTGTGCCACGCCAATGAGACGCTCCACCTATGCACAACGTATCTATATATAAATTCTAAAGTCTAAAGTGTAGAGTGATGAAGTCGCCGAAGGGGCAAAATGGGGCCTCAATTGGATCCCAGAGCGGATCCTCCTCGTTCGGCAAATCCTGCACAGCCTTGGAACTCAGGCTGACAAGAAACGAAAATCGACCAATGCAAACTGCAAACCCACAAACCATTGGCACATGCTCTGGAAAATGGCAGTCACTTGAATAGACCCCAAAACTGCCTCTAATCCTTCCTCTTCGGCTCGCTGCAGCAGCTCGCGCAGGATGAAAACTGTGGCGAGTGCAAGTGCAGATTGGAACCCACGGGCACAAAGAAGGAAACCTTTGTTTGGCTTTGGCCCTTTCTTGTTGCCCCTTCACAGGGGTGGCACAGCCTCTAACACTCATCACACTGGCGGTGAGGAGCCACCCATAGCAGTGGATCCCGTATCAGCAGAGGTCCCCTTCTTGGGATGCAATAGCACTCTCGGGTGTGAACTGCAATTTTGTGCAAACAGACACCCACCAGGTCCCAGCAGACCCCATACAGAGTAAACTGAGAGCCAACCCATCATTGTTACTATGTGATTGCTCAACAATGTTTTGTGGAAGCAGCACACAAAGGGCAACTTAAAGGAGAAGCCAAGGCTTTCCGAGTGCCGCGTGGTAGGAATGAAAAAATCCCACCACAAAGCCTTTTCCTTTCACACGGAAGTCCGTCATGTCCCAGTCGAGGACTGCTCTCCAACACAAATGGGCACGACTCAATGCCCTGCTTTGACCCCTGAACCGCCTGACCCTTCAACCTTCCTATTCAACAAGCCCCTTTCTCAATGCACCCTTTTGGAGGGATTTCTAAGACCTTTCACTGTCTCTTCCACGTGAGGCTTTCTGATTTGCTCACGCGTATCGAGCCTCGATTCTCGAGCGTTTCCGGGTTCCACTCGAAGAGACGAACGCCTGCAGTGCTTCTCCGGCTGTTTGCCCTGCCTCCTTTATTCAGTAAGGGCGACTAGTTAGCGACTACATATGGGCGCAGGACAGTTCCCGCTCGCACTAATGATCTGTTTCCTAGATTCTTCCGGAAACTAATGCCAAACACCAAGGCCGAAGCCGTTGAGCATCACAGCAGCAGCGACATTCACCGCCCTTAAGGTATGGTAGCAGGGAGAAACTTTGAGGTTCCTTCAGCAAGATCTCAAAAGTTGAGTCTTGATTTAGACTGGCAAAAATTGTCTTCTCAGTGCTACAACCGCAACATAGCAGACTGTGGAACCGACCCGCTCTTTCCTTCGGCAGTGAGCTCACAGTGCATCTTTGTTTCCAAGCGGTGAGGCCTGGAGCCACCAGCAAAGCTGAAGACAAATGCTCTTGTGTTACAAGCTAGAATAAGCATGAAGGTGCATTTCCTTGAATCATGCAGCGCAAAAGAAAGTCGGAGGTTAATAAGGGTCATTGAGTCCAAGACTTATGGCGAAGTCTTGTAGCAGGGAATGTTGAGTCCAAGAAGAATATGCTCTACAGCTGTACTACAGCTGAAACCAGCCTTTGAAGCTCCTGGATGATGAGGTTTGCCTGATAGAATCTTGACCCAAATGGGAAATCCGGGAAGTTTTTTGAGAACGGTCGCCAACATTCAACAACTTCAACAACCGATCGCCTCTTTCACCAAAGGCATGACAGTCATCAGTTGCTCCTGACAAACAATTCTGAGAACCCAAACCAACTTGCGAGCGGTCCGCCCTCGCCCCTTAAGGTCCTTCCACATAGGTGGGGTACCCAAGGGTTTGTATGTACCCAAGAAGCATATATGACAAAACATGCACGCCACCCACGGAACAACCGGTATAATACGCGGTCATTACACAAGGTGAATTACAAATTCAATCGCTCAGCATTTCACAAGGAAAAGGATATTGTAGCAAAGCTTTGCTTGGAACGAAGGCATTTCTTCACTTTTTGGTATAATTTTTGCCCCTCATCGAAAGAAATGGACGTGAAAGGGGACGCCACCCGTGACGGTCCCTGCGATATCAAGGGCATCTCAAGTCGAACATTAAGGGGGTAGGGTTGATGCGCAATAGAAGAGTAATGTGCCAAATTTTCCATGAGTAGAGTAGCATGCGGAACTTCCGGACGAGAGGAAATTCCCCCAACCAGGCGCGGATGATAACCAAGGCGAACTAGAGAGGAAGCGCCAGTTTTCTTATATCGCGGGAAAATTTGACACTGGAGTGTGTTTTCCAAGTAGCGGACCACGGCTCGAAGGTTATTGGCCTGGTGCCAAATACTGCGAGCTTCGGGTTTTTGAACTTTCCGGCACTGCACGTTTTTTGGTACCATTGTAGATCCAGAGCGGCAGAAAAGACCCAAAGTTAACAGCATAACATATTGCTAATTCGAACCATGTGATGCCAAAATCGGAATCTTTTCTCGGAAGAGAAGGATCCCGCCACTTAAACTGACGAAAGAGGTGCCACACATTAAAGGCAATATGGGCACCAGCGGGACAGGCCTGGGCAACCACCTCCGGTAGATCGGAGTCAAAACTCCATGGGTTATCTCCAATGGACCAATTGCTCAAGATTGTGTGAAAGTTTGCATATTCATCCACCGAGGCATTTGCCTGTTGAGAACCAACAGGATGCTCTTTTTGCAATTTCAATTGGGAATGTAATGAGTTAAGTTCGGCTAAGTACAGATAAACTGAGAACAACGAATCGATCTGCTGTTTGGAGTGTTCCGAAATAGCCAGGGTAGCATTTAACAAGGCGGGCAGATCGCGCGTATTAACTTCTTTAGCGACTTCATCTGCTAGGTCATTTCCAAGAATCGTGTACAGGTCGTTCAAGTTTTCTGCATCCTCTTTCTTCCGGTGGGATTTAACTTTGTGGATGTGATGAAAAAGGGGGTTCTAACATTTCTGAAGTATGTGTACGAGGTCAGCATGAGCTAACTGATGAAACAATTCTGAGAACCCAAAACAAGTATGTCCCAACGTGCTCATGCTTGGCGGCGTGTGTAGTCCTCCAGCTTCTGCATTGCCAGCTCATGCTGACGATGACCTGCAAGCCAGGACTGGAAAAGGCAGGGTGCTCCACATTCTTCTTCGATGTAAGCCTTCTTCTTCTGCTGCAGCCTTCTTGGCCTTTTTCTCAAGCTCCTCCCAGAACTTCCAGTCAGCAATGAAAAAGCAGCATGGTACCCTTTGCAACTCGTTTTCAGAAAGGCAAGAGCCCAGCACAAAGCTCGCCTCAATCTTGTGCTGAGCAGCTTCTTCTGCTTGCTTCTGTCGCCTGAACATTGATTGCGCCAGCTGCGGACTTCAGCTCCAGAAGCAAGAAGCTTTATGCAGTTTGAGCTTGGGACTCTTCGAAGTCTTTTTGGAGCCGAGAAAGCTCCTTGGTTGAGACTTAGTTGATCTCAACTTGAAAGGAAGTGCCGGCCGGCCTCTGCATGCACGCGAGCCTGCTTGGGTGGGTGGCTATATACTGGTTTCAATCATGGCCAGTGCTTTAAACGACAAGAAATCGGTGCATGTGCAACAATTCAGCAGTGCTCACCAAAATCCCAATCAAGCGCAAATGCACGAAGCTTCAAAACCTTGACCATGGACCATTGCTTCCTGCTGTACTCTGGCCTGCTCAGCTGCAGCGGCTTGTTCACTTGCTTCCGCTGCTTGTCGTTGTTGCATCTCCTCTTGCAAGTGTCTCTGGCAAGGAATGCACCAGTGCCTATCATTAGTGTCTATCATTCTGCTGCCACTGTACCTCTTCCCATTGCTTTTGCTTTTGCTCCATCTGGAGTTGGAACCTCAACATGCCAAGTCAATTCAGTTGGAAAAGTAAACATCAAATTGCTGCTTAGCTGCTCCTCTTTCTGTTGTTTGATGAGGGCCTCAGCCTCAGCCTGATGCAACTATGCTACCTTTGAGCCATTCTTTGGTGTTGTTGCTCTCAACAATCTAGTGCCTTTGGACCTTTAACAAGTACAATAGTTTCTATCATCTTCTTTTGTCTTGCTCGCACGGAAGGGAAAAGCATCTGTGCCTTTGCTTTCTCCTTGGCATCTTCCGCTTCGCGAGCCTAGGAGATGAAAAGCCACGACCACCTGATATTTCCACTGAGGCAACCCAGGACTGTGCCTTGCGCTCCAATTCTTCTGCCAACTGCTTGCTGGCCTGAGAAGTATCTGGCATGACAGACCTCTTGTGATGAATCTCGTACAATGCATGAAGCGTTTTGATGTTTTAGTAAAATATCCTGTGCACCGGTTCTTTCGCCAGCCTTCAGATCTTCCTCAGATGGTCCTGTGACATCACCCTGTAGTTCCTGCGTGATCAGCTGGGAGACTGCTGGTGTTACGCGGATGGGGGGTTCACCATCTCCTTGTCCTGACTCTTATTTCGCACCCAAACAAACAGCAGCTCAAAAAAAGCAGAAGGGCAAACAAATTGAAGAAGCCTTGCGAGCGGCTGCATAGGTGACTTGCCCTGAGTTGATCAGCTCGGCCACTTTGCCCTGGCAGAATTTCAGAGTCTCCGTGGTAACAAAAGAATGGGCGCAAGCCCACCTTGCTGGGCTCCACAAAGACAAAAATGCACCTTTGCCGCATGGAATGCCAAATAATGCTTCACTGCTTGTACGACAATACGTAAAGAGTTTTGGGCCACATTCTGCAGCAGAGCTTCTGTCCAAAGGCAAGACGGTCGCCATGCGTGAGAGTGACTCAGCAAATCGCAGTATCAAAGCTGCATACCAAAAAATAAGAACATCAAGTACCACAATCGAAAAACCTGTACAGTGAGGGTTGAGAATTGGAAGGCTAGGATCTGAGGAACGGATTGATCGAAGAAGTTGACATGCGGACCTGCAACACCTGCTTGCAAAGCGGTTCCGTTGACAAACGTCGTAGCTGCTGCCTCGAGGGCGGTAGCACATTACTCCACAGGAAAAGCTGGAATTTTGTCTAACGCAGTGAGTGTCCACCTCTGCATCAGTTGCTTTGAGGGAAACTACGCCATTTGTGTTCTCCACGATTGCATGCTCCTTCGCTGGCAGATGAGCAAGCACCAACTGCAATCTGTGCGACTGTGTGACGCAACAACTTGTACATCGCTTCTTCACCTCTGTATTGGCTCGTTTAGAGGTTGATCAGTTTCATCATGTCAGTCAAAGAAGTCTATATAAACTATATAAGTCATGAACGAGATCTCCAAGAACTGCGAGAAACTCGCCTGATGGATCCCTGGAACTTGCAGTGCAACTTCTGGCCTAAGATGGCACAGCAATTGAACCGACCTGCCGTCTTAGACGGAATGTCCGTATGGAGTCTGTAAAGGCGCGGGCGCATTGGCATCTCCGTCTTCTTGACTTCCTCTGCCGACCCGAGTTCTGCCTTCCTGTTGCAGCTCGGAACTATTGAGGTTAGAAGGGTGAGCATCTTTTTGGAATGCATATATATATATATAGTTATATATATATACATCGGAAACTGTTTCTATCTATGTCGGGGTCTATAA